CTTGTCCAATCAGCGCCTTATTACGAGCAGTCAGAAGTGCTAGAATTATTCTTCAATTCATTTATTTAGACCCCCAGTCAAGCCTATTTGACTTGTCAGTTAATTAATCCTCCCCAAAAGATGAATGCATCTCTCTTCAATCAATCTGCCAAGTATCTATCTTCGCACAGGGTCGTTCTTTGCATAAACAAAGCCGTTCTGGATCTAACTCATTCTTTATCTGCCTGACAGCTTCCTGCAGATTATTATTACACGCATGTAACAAAAGAGTGACTCGTTACCGGAGGGTTTTATTGCCCCCTCCACACCCTGAGAGAATAACCGGAAACTACCAGCTCCCTCTTAAGAGCTGTCATCTGACAGACGTAAATATGTGGACGACTGATTAGGCTTTTTGAAGTCGGGGCAGATTCAGTACCAACGAAGGTTAGTGATTCTGTTTAGTGTTTGCGTGAGGAATCCTTGCTTAGTCTAGCAGAAATCAGACAGAAGGTAACGTACTAATTAACAATCGCCTGCGAGATGTGCACTCGGTGGATATTTAAACATATTAGATTAGATTGCTCTAATGCAATACAAAGTAAGAATAATGGGACACTAAAGATTATTTCTGCGCTGATCAACATTACACCAAATCGGCCTGGTCGTTGTTTATACAGATTGAACGGTTGCATTTGATTGGTTCTACGGATTGGAGGGATGCTTTTGATTGGTCGAAAAACTTGGATGTATAGAATATAAACTCCTATACTTTACGGGCAATATGTGAAGCACATACAAATAAGGGACACCTTCAAATAAATCTTAGTATATTCATCAGATACGAAAAACCTTCCCTTTTTCTTTTTTTTTTTTTTTTTTTTTGCAATTCCGTATAAACACGGTTCCCAAATGAAATAACTAATTTCTAGAGCAAGACTGGATAGAAAAAGTTACGTGATGTGCTCTCTACCACGTCCGCCGGGTTGAACTCCAAATAGAAATAAGTCAAAACTCAGATAGACTCTTGAGTAGGTCACCGGCTCGCCATAAGCCATAAAAACGACTCGTCACCCACAAACAGTGACCAGTTCTGAAACGGAAGAGTCAGAACCAGATCTGCAATGAAACAGGCAATAAAGGACAGTCCACATGTAACAGTTGGCGAAGCAGACCCTGCCTCGATACCCAGGTTAAGCATACGTTGCCGTTACAACGCGTATGTCAACGATGATTTTTCGATATACAACGCCACAAACGACAGTAAATCTCGAACCTTCTCTTTGTTCGCTGTGTTCTAAAATTTCTGCTATCGCACGCAATCAACCAGTAGTCTCACACATGTTTCGTTAGCGTGTGCTTCACGCTATTTATCAACCCACCCACAAGGATTGAATATGGTACAAGGCCGGTTTAATGTGAGTATCCCCGAGCCCGTAGGCTCGGCCAAAAAATATAGCCTTTTTGAAACCGCCTTGACGGATTCAGGCCCTGTCTACCTCCCCGAACGAAACCTTGCCCTTCGGCAAAGCTTCGTCCGGGTTCCTCTCTGCTAACGCAGAGAGTTCGACAGATGTCGGAAGTCAGCTAAGAACTTCACACATACACACATATTGGCGTGCATATCATTTCGAAGTCACTTGCAACAAATCACATTGAACTATTGATCTCTTCATGGCCACAACAAAGAATAACCATTTTAACATGTAAATGTACCTGCCTGTATAAATGTTATTGTCATATTTAGCGTGGTCTTTTTCTGTTCTGTGAAGATTATTTCCTGGCTTTGTTTATTATTTTGTGTTTGTTTATTATTTTGTATAAAATGCGAGAGTCATGTCCACAAATACAAATTATTTTGTATTTGTGGACATGATTCTCGCATTTTATTTTTCATCTAAAATCCGGGTAAACCACCAGATGGTTGATTGGTTCTACGGATTGGAAAGTTGCTTTTGATTGGTCGTACAAATTGGATCGTTGTATTTGATTGGTTCTACGAATTTGATGGTTGCTTTTGATTGGTCGTACAAATTGGATCGTTGTATTTGATTGGTTCTATAGATTGGAGGGTTTGCTTTTGATTGGTCGTACAAACTGGATCGTTGTATTTGATTGGTTCTACGGGTTGGAGGGTTGCCTTTGATTGGTCGTACAAACTGGATCGTTGTATTTGATTGGTTCAACGGATTTGAGGGTTGCTTTTGATTGGACGTACCAATTGGATCGTTGTATTTGATTGGTTCTACGGATTTGAGGGTTGCTTTTGATTGGTCGTACAAATTGGATGGTTGTATTTGATTGGTTCTATGGATTTGAGGGTTGTTTTTGATTGGTCGTACAAATTGGATGGTTGTATTTGATTTTTCTACGGATCGGTGATTTGAATTTTATTTGTTGTACAGGTTTGATGGTTGCATTTGATTGGCCCCCCGGATTTTAATGGTCGTAAAAATTGAATGGTTGAATTTGATTGGCTGGAAAATATTGGAATATTAAATTTAATTGTTTAGACAGATTTACAGTGGCAACTCTACACGTATTTACACAGTGGAAAAGACGCCTAAGATGATATTTCCCCGATTACTCATTAAGTCTCGGGTCAGCTGTTATCTAACCAGTTGTCCTCCAAGAGGATGGGACGATATCATTTTTAAGCTTTGATCTTAGCTGTAAAGTCCAGTAAATTTTGAACTGAACTCTTTCTTTGAACTATAGAGATACGTTCCTCAAGAGCACATGGCATAGTGGATAAAGGCGTTGGTTTGATCCAGTGACAGGACTGAGGGGAATTAACAGGAGATAACTGATAACTGACATCCATTAGACATAGCACGTGGTACTAGAACAGTCTATAAAGGGTTCAGTTCGACATTCCATCCATCTGAAGGCCGGAGCGTACAAAGGCCGAAACGTTGTAATAAATATGGCGACAAAGATGAGGACAATAGTCCGAATAATGTAAATAGTGTCCATAATACCTCATCTCAGGAATATAGTAAGATACTGAAGGATCGGATAAATATGGCGACAAAGATGAGGACAATAGTCCGAATGATGTAAATAGTGTACATAATACCTCATCTCAGAAATATAGATATGTTAAGGATATCTCGTCTCGTTATGGGACATTAAGCTAATGGATTAAATTGATGCTTAATAAATTTATGGTATAGTAAATGTGAGTTCAATCCCTGTGCTGGCTAGTACAGACTTAGATGATATAAATTTTACGCTCTGATTTGGATGATTGGTTTTACTCTCAATGAAGTTTCTTGCTTAGGACTCAAGCTCATTTTAGGACTCAAGTGGGACTCATATATATGGTCCATCACCAAAAGGGCGTGCTCCTTGTAACGCTCCTGAAAGTCTATGGCACCTCTTACAATGCTCTGTCTTTACAGGAGTCAGACTTAAAATGGAATATTGCTACTATTGGTGGATTGCAGGCTTGAGAGATTTCAAAAGCAGCCTTGTGAGTGATGAATTATTTCCCACCCTACAACCCCTTTCCCCACAGACGAAACGTCGCTACTTTATCGTTATTTCTTTAAGGCAATTCACCCCAAAAGGCGGGGGTGCCACTAGCAAGGCAAGGGGTTACAGAGGATTGAGAACAAGAGCAAAGAGGAGCGTTTGATGAAAAGACACAGAGGAGGACGGAGAACAAGTTCAGGGTGTCAGATATCGATTGACATTACACTTGGATATTTGAAGATTATAGTCATCGGTGAAGCAAGTAAGGGGAAAGGAGCTCTCAGGATTTCATCCTCCTTGGGATTACCCATAAGGATTACCAAGTTTTTCATAACTTAAATATATATATATATATATATATATATATATATATATATATATATATGTATCATTATAATATATCGCACATATAATGCTTGTGTTAATAAAATAGTTCTCGATGCAATACAACAGAGCTATTAAGTATATATTAATAAATATGCATTATCCTCACCGATAGCACGACTCAGCACCTGAAGATTGCATTGCGCATGAACCTACGAGTCATGTTATCGGTAAAGGACAAATATATATATATATATATATATATATATATATATATATATATATATATTAAGGCAAATTCACCCCAAGCAAAGCGGGAGTACCACTAGCATACAAGGGGTTACAGAGGATTGAGAACAAGAGTAAAGAGGCGTGTTTCAGGAAAAGACACAGAGGAGGATGTGGAACACGCTCAGGGTGTCAGATGTCGATTGACATTACACTTGAATATTTGAAGATTATAGTCATCGGCGAAGCAAGTAAGGGGAAAGGAGTTCCACAGACGGGAAGTGCGGGAGAAGAAGCTGTTTGAGTAGAAGACACGGTTACATTTAACCGTTTTGACAGTGAAAGGGTGGGACACAGATGCCGGCCTGGTAGCTCACTTAAATTCATGCAGTTTGGGAACCAGCGAAAGTAGCTCATCAGAACATTTACCGTGGGAATACTTGTAAAAGAGACAGAGGGAAGCCACGGCACGTCTGTGGGATAGCGATTGTAGACTAGATGCCAGATCAGGACCCATCATCTTGCATATTCGTCTCTGGATTTTGTCGAGGACCTCGAGACGTAGAGCGGGGGCACTAGAGCGTATATGACAGCAATATTCCATGCAAGGACGGATGGTGGATTTATAGATTTGAAGGATGGTCTCAGACGAGGAAAAGCTTCTAGCACGACAAAGAGAGCCAACATTCCTTGCGGTAAATGAAGCTATTGATTTTACATGGAAAATGTTCAGACGGGCTACATTTCTTATTTCCACCAGTTCAGACATTTCTATCTAAAATCTACCATGCCACGTAAAAAGAGTTTAATTATAGTCATTCCTTTCGTATTGCAATAAGGACTTTCCATTCGGACAACTTCTTCTCAAGAGGGACTGTCTTGTGGAACAAACTCCCGGGTATATGCTTTTTGGATTACTTAACCTATTGAAGTTCACCATTATCTATCTTAACCTATTGAAGTTGACCGTTATCTATCTTAACCTATTGAAAATGACCATAATCTATCTTACCCTATTGAAGCTGACCATTATCTATCTTAACCTATTGAAGTTGACCATCACCTATCTTACCCTATTGAAATTGACCATTATCTATCTTAAACTATTGACATTGACCGTTATCTATCTTACCCTATTGAAATTGACCATTATCTATCTTAAACTATTGACATTGACCGTTATCTATCTTACCCTATTGAAATTGACCATTATCTATCTTAAACTATTGAAATTGACCATTATCTATCTTATCCTATTGAAATTGACCATTATCTATCTTAACCTATTGAAGTTGACCGTTACCTATCTTACCCTATTGAAATTGACCATTATCTATCTTACCCTATTGAAATTGACCATTATCTATCTTAAACTATTAACATTGACCATTATCTATCTTAACCTATTGAAGTTGACCGTTACCTATCTTACCCTATTGAAATTGACCATTATCTATCTTACCCTATTGAAATTGACCATTATCTATCTTAAACTATTAACATTGACCATTATCTATCTACACCTATTGAAATTGACCATTATCTATCTTACCCTATTGAAATTGACAATTATCTATCTTACCCTATTGAAATTGACCATTATCTATCTTAACCTTTGAAATTGACCATTATCTATCTACACCTATTGAAGTTGACCGTTACCCATCTTACCCTATTGAAATTGACCATTATCTATCTTAAACTATTAACATTGACCATTATCTATCTTAACCTATTGAAGTTGACCGTTACCTATCTTACCCTATTGAAATTGACCATTATCTATCTTACTCTATTGAAATTGACCATTATCTATCTTAAACTATTAACATTGACCATTATCTATCTTAACCTATTGAAGTTGACCGTTACCTATCTTACCCTATTGAAATTGACCATTATCTATCTTACCCTATTGAAATTGACCATTATCTATCTTAAACTATTAACATTTTGACCATTATCTATCTACACCTATTGAAATTGACCATTATCTATCTTACCCTATTGAAATTGACAATTATCTATCTTACCCTATTGAAATTGACCATTATCTATCTTAACCTTTGAAATTGACCATTATCTATCTACACCTATTGAAGTTGACCGTTACCCATCTTACCCTATTGAAATTGACCATTATCTATCTTAAACTATTAACATTGACCATTATCTATCTTAACCTATTGAAGTTGACCGTTACCTATCTTACCCTATTGAAATTGACCATTATCTATCTTACTCTATTGAAATTGACCATTATCTATCTTAACCTTTGAAATTGACCATTATCTATCTACACCTATTGAAGTTGACCGTTACCCATCTTACCCTATTGAAATTGACCATTATCTATCTTAAACTATTAACATTGACCATTATCTATCTTAACCTATTGAAGTTGACCGTTACCTATCTTACCCTATTGAAATTGACTATTATCTATCTTACTCTATTGAAATTGACCATTATCTATCTTAAATTATTAACATTGATCATTATCTAACTTAACCTATTGAAGTTGACCGTTACCTATGTTACCCTACTGAAATTGACCATTATCTATCTTAACCTATTGAAGTTGACCGTTACCTATCTTACCCTATTGAATTTGACCATTATCTAGCTTAACCTACTGAAGTTGAACGTTATCTATCTTAACCTATTGAAACTGACCATTATCTATCTAAACCTATTGAAATTGACCGTTTACTATCCTACATGCCTTTATAATCTGCATTTATTACTTCTTTCTCTTGTTTTATCCTTGAAACAACTTTATTCAGTAAAATACTACCTTGAGTGACTCTTGTGCCTTGTGTTGTAGGTAAAAATAGATTTTGCCGCTTGGTTTAAATGATTAAAACGATCTTATTTCCCTGTTAAAGTTATATGATTGATTTGTTTGTTTTTTTTGTTTTTTTTTAGTTTTTTTAGCTGAATGTTGATAATTTTCAATGTTATTTAAGCCAAAAAATATTTTTAGATCGTAAGAATATTTTTTTAAATAATAATGATTTTTTACTGATACAAGATCTGTTAATTAACCCATGTCTGTGAAGGGTTGGATTTATACCTTTCCCAAGGGTATTAAGCGACTATAACAACCTTGGCTGGAATTGGAACTTGTCTCTTCAATTTCAAATTCCGAGCCGTCATGTATTACACCATCCACATATCCAAGCTTACAGCACCTGGTATTCTCAAAGCGGTCATCCGTCTAGGTACTGACCAGGCTCGACGTTGCTTAACTTCAGTGATCGTACGAGAACCGGTGTTTCAGCGTGATAAACCCTTTTACAATTATAGCTCAAGTTCCATATGCCTGCTGAAGGCTTTCTGTCCCCTTGAGAATCCTGAGCAATCCCAAAGGGGACGTTATCACCCACGTTGAGAAACACTGAGTTTAAATGACTGGCAAATTGACATCCTCCAGATATTCAGCAAAAGTATAGAAGCAAGTCGCAGACGACGAACAGAAATTAAAAAAAAAGTTTTATGGCTTATTTAAAAACGAATTTAAAAACAAATAAAACGAAGTAAATTTAATCAATTTAACTATCTTAAGGCTTTCTTTTGTCCTGTGAAAATATAATCTCAAATCTCAAAATAGAAGAATGACGCAAAATATCAGGAGAATTAAGTTTAATTTTGAACAGACATTATAAAACTTGAATTAAATTACTATTTTCTATTAAAACGTTGTCGTTTTTTTTTCTGGTTTCACCTCGGATTTATATTCTCTATCCATATTTTAAAGATCCCCACCACTACAAAAAGAAAACAGTTAAAATAATGCAAGACTCGAGATGGCAAAAATCATTATCTATCTTATCCTAATGAAATTGACCATTATCTATCTTAAACTATTAACATTGACCATTATCTATCTACACCTATTGAAATTGACCATTATCTATCTTAACCTTTGAAATTGACCATTATCTATCTACACCTATTGAAGTTGACCGTTACCCATCTTACCCTATTGAAATTGACCATTATCTATCTTAAACTACTAACATTGACCATTATCTATCTTAACCTATTGAAGTTGACCGTTACCTATCTTATCCTATTGAAATTGACCATTATCTATCTACACCTATTGAAATTGACCGTTACCCATCTTACCCTATTGAAATTGACCATTATCTATCTTAACCTATTAATAATGGCTTATTTAAAAACGAATTTAAAAACAAATAAAACGAAGTAAACTTAATCAATTTAACTATCTTAAGGCTTTCTTTTGTCCTGTGAAAATATAATCTCAAATCTCAAAATAGAAGAATGACGCAAAATATCAGGAGAATTAAGTTTAATTTTGAACAGACATTATAAAACTTGAATTAAATTACTATTTTCTATTAAAACGTTGTCGTTTTTTATTTCTGGTTTCACCTCGGATTTATATTCTCTATCCATATTTTAAAGATCCCCACCACTACAAAAAGAAAACAGTTAAAATAATGCAAGACTCGAGATGGCAAAAATCATTTAATAAAAATACAAATTAAATTCAATTTTGGCTTCCTGAATTTGTGGTTGAAAATTTCCGTCCTTTTTTTTTGTCTCAGAGATTATTCTGGGACTCAACTACACAGACCGGCAACATGAAATAGCTAGATATAACCGGAAGTTCATTTCTAATAGTTTCTTCAATTTTACTTCACGCAAGTGGAAATATCTTCCGGTTTCTTGCTTCCCTGTCACCGTCTTGTTGTTTTTGTTCTTTTTCGTCTTCTCCTCCTCCTCCTTCTTCTACTTCTTTTTCTCATAATTCTTCTTCTCCTCCTCCTCCTTCTACTTCTATTACTACTACTTCTATTTCATCTCTTCCTCCTTCTTCTCAATCCGAGCCGCTGTCGATCACTCCACCGTGTCTCTTAAAAAAAGCAGTTGGTAATGGACTTGGCAATGGAGTCAATATTTGACTCTTTGTTAATTCTCAGGCTGTAAATAGATTAAGTATTTTAGTGCTAGGTAATTCAGGATTTTATTACAATTCTTAGATGCTTTAACGGCATATTAACTCATTACGGGTCACTTAATGCCGAAATTAAATTTTCTTAGAAGCTTGGGTAATTTTAATATATATATATATATATATATATATATATATATATATATATATATATATATATATATATAGAGAGAGAGAGAGAGAGTTTATGGAAAACTAGATAATCCGTATGGGTAAATATAAGGAGGATAAAATCCAGAGAGCTCAATGTAAATTAAAGCAAATAATTTAAATAAAAACAGACCACTTTAATGTTCGATGTAATATGCAAATAATAACCTTAAAGCGGTCTGCTTTTATTTAAATTATATATATATATATATATATATATATATATATATATATATATATATTATATTATATATATATAAATTATATATATATATATATATATAAATTATATATATATATAAATTATATATATATATATATAAATTTATAATTTATATATATATATATATAAAATACCATATATATATATATATATATATATATATATATATATATATATTTTTTTTTTTTTTTTACAAAAGCTATTGCTAACATTTTTTTACTATGAAAATGCATTTAATTCTTCCAAAATGTTTTAGAACCATTTTGGAGGGTTCACTATTTATCCATAGCAGGGACCCCAACAGCAGCTACCAGCTCGAGTCAGATTGAACCTGAGAACAACAGCAATTATGAGATAGTTCCACGCTCCCCAAAAACCTCTCGGTCAAAGGCCTTGCTACCGGGTTTACTTTATCGTCATGCGCAGTACAGATAGAACGCTGTGGAGAGCCACGGCCGCCCGCATCTTGAAGGGACACCACACACAGAAAAAGTAGAAGAAGAATGTAAGGTCACCAGGAATGATCAAGAAAAATACTGTTAAAAAGTCTTCAGATTAATGGGTCGCGTATTTGTTTCTATAATAATGTTCGTCCTATACAAGGCCTAAGAGCCACTCAAGATAGAGGGTTATTGTGTGAATGTTGTATAAACGTAAGAAAATGAAAGAAGTGCAGTTTGTGAGATCGTGTAGGAAATATAACGGCTAACCCGAATTTTGAGGAAGTCAAGATTATAGTGGTCGAGAAAACATACTGCCTGTCTGTTCCCCCAAATCAGCAGTTCTTGTGAAGAAGCTGTCCGAGTGGAACTTACTTCTTACTAATGGAATACAAAATTGAATTTGTATACGTGTCATGGCGGGTCCTAACTGCAATATCAGGGCCGGATAGACTAAGGAATATAGCTCGTCAGAACACATGTCATGGAAATAGCGATAGAGTAGCTAGACGCTTGCAACATTTCGTATGCAGGAAAGGATGGAAAATAATTAATCGCTCCCAATGCTTAGTAGACGCTTTTGAATTCTATCACGACATGGATGTGAGAACTGGGTAACTCTACTCTCAATAAGAGAACAATGATATATACTGTTCAACTGTCTAACTCTCTGCCTCGGCAGAGAGGAACCCCGATGAGGCTTTGCCGCAGAGCAAAGTTTCGTCCGTGGAGGTAGACAGTCCCTGAACCCATTTAGGCGGGTTCAAAGGGAATATTTTTGGCCGAGCCTACGGGCTCGGAATACCCACAATGAACCGGCCTTGTGCCTCGTGGGGGTGGGGGCTGTTAAATATTAACTCAATATGACAGTAATATTCCATATTTTAGTCATATCTGCCTTTTGTAATCACAGCGTGTATATAGCAAGACTGGGTCAAATACTTACAGGAGTGGTTCAATGAACCGATCATTTTTTTTTCCAACAACTTTTAGCAAATGATTACATTTTTTTTAATCGGTATCACTCCATTCAAGGCAATAAAGCCACTAAGACACAAGGGGTTACAGGGTGGGGAAAAATTAGGAACAGAAACATTAGTAATGAGGAGAAAGAAAAAAAACTAATCGGGAGAACTCTAGATAGCGATTGACATTGCATTTAAATTTTTACCGATTAAAGTTGGCTGGAAAGCATGGAGCCAGAAGAGAGTTCCACAAATGAGAAGTGCGAGAAAAGAAACAGTTAACGTAGAAGCTACAGCTATATCTAGCTAGCTCAACTTTAAATTGATGAGATGTCGACGCCAGTCTCGTATTGTGCTTAAATTGCTAAAGTCTAGGGTACCATAGTGAAGAGCGATATTTATTTTCGCTTCATATACAGAAAATGTGGCACAAGGCCAAAAGGGGAATGGGGAAAAGGACGGTCTTCTTCTCTCTTAATATTAAACTTATCTAGCCACAAACACTGACCCAAACATACAACAATATTCCTTACACCAAAACAACACGTTCTTACTTACCTTTCTTACTACATTCACCATAATACCCCATTGTCTCTATAAAAATCATAACTAGTCCCCATATGTACAATTCATTGTCTTTGGGGGGGGGGATAAAACAACAATTTAAAAACCTAGCCCCAATATGAGTACAAATCTATTTACATGAAACTAAATAAAGAGCGATATTTATTCTGTTTAATACAGAAATGTGGCACATGGCCGAAAAGGGGGATTGGGGAAAGGACGGTCTCGTTCTGTCTTAACTATAACTTAGCTAGACGCAAACACTGACCCAATCGTACGAACAATATTCCTTACATCAAAACAACACATTCATACGTACCTTTCTTACTACAATCACCATAATACCTCTTTGTCTCTATGAAAATACTAACTAGTCCCCGTATTTACAATTCATTGTCTGGGAGGAAGGGAATAAAACAACAATTCTAAAAACTAGTCCCAATGAGTATTTACAATATGACTACAAAAACTATTTACAAGAAACTAAAGAAAATAAGATTAGTAATAAAACCCCCCACACAAAGAGCGATATTTATTCTGTTTAAAATACAGAAATGTGGCACAAGGCCGAAAAGGGGATTGGGGAAAGGACGGTCTTCTTCTGTCTTAACTATAACTTAGCTAGCCGCAAGCACTGACCCAAACGTACGAAACAATATTCCTTACACCAAAACAACACATTCATTCGTACCTTTCTTACTACAACCACCATAATACCTCTTTGTCTCTATGGAAATACTAACTAGTCCCCATATTTACAATTCGTGGTCTGTGGGGGGAGGGGAATAAAACAACAATTCTAAAAATTAACCCCAATGAGTATTTACAATATGCATACAAAAACTATTTACAAGAAACTAAAGAAAATAAGATTAGTAATAAAACCCCCCACACAAAGAGCGATATTTATTCTGTTTATAATACAGAAATGTGGCACAAGGCCGAAAAGGGGATTGGGGAAAGGACGGTCTTCTTCTGTCTTAACTATAACTTAGCTAGCCGCAAGCACTGACCCAAACGTACGAAACAATATTCCTTACACCAAAACAACACATTCATTCGTACCTTTCTTACTACAACCACCATAATACCTCTTTGTCTCTATGAAGATACTAACTAGTCCCCATATTTACAATTCGTGGTCTGTGGGGGGAGGGGAATAAAACAACAATTCTAAAAAATAAACCCCAATGAGTATTTACAATATGCATACAAAAACTATTTACAAGAAACTAAAGAAAATAAGATTAGTAATAAAACCCCCCACACAAAGAGCTCATCCGAACAATTACCATGAAAGTATTTATAAAAAGTATGAGTTCTACTTGAAATCTTGAGGTGAGTTTAGGTTCCAATGGACTTTCAAGGCAAGGAACCTCCTGGAGAGAACTCCAATCCATCATGACTCTTTAGAGGAACCTTAATTTACTTTACGTCTCAAATGAAAAACTCGGTAAATGCTTTCATATCAAACAGTAAATCAAATAGAAATAATTAACAATATATCTATTTCTTTCTTAGTAATGAGATAATCCGTTTCTAGGATAACAGGAAGCATTCAATAATCCCAATAAGCTAACAGACCTCGTGAAGAACATTTCCTTATGAAATACCAATCCCACCCCCACTGTAATATTTAATCCATAAATATTCAAAATTTTACTGCAATTCACGTGAAGGAAACTTAAAAGGCTATTAACTTGGTCTCTAAACAAGCCTCCAAAGACAATGGCGTCCATGAAAGAGAAAAATTTAAAAAAAACAAAAAGACATTTAAATATATATAGTTTCAAAACATATAATAGAGAACTGAAAGGCAGAAATATAAAATATTTGAATGAAAGTTTATTCTGTAATATACTTTGATCATTTTAATTCTGAAATAATAATGCAAAATGAAATTCTAGTGCCCCCCGCCACGTCTGTAATATATTTAATTCTTAAATGTATGCCAATTACGCATGTATGTACATACACACAAAATATTTTCATGAGATATTCCGTTTCTAAGATAACAGAAAGCGTTCAATAATCCCAATAAGCTAATGAAGAACATCTGCTCATGAAATACCATTCCTTTTACATTTTTCCTTTAATCATTTCACCCCAACCAAGAAAAAGGCAATACGGTTACATGCAGTTATTTTAACAGTGAAATAATGAGACTTAGCTGTATATATCAATTGTATATATATATATATATATATATATAAATCCTAGGCTACTCCTGCAGAAAATATAATCAGCGAATTTACAAAATTAATTAAAATAGACGTTATCAAATTTCTTTGAATATTTTTACTTTTAAAGATGTAAAAAGCAGACTTCTTTGTAAATAACGACTGTAGAATTAATTGTATCTGTAAAAATCCTAGAAACTTTAACCAGTGTACTGCATATACACGTGTATCATGCGATTTTCGAAGACCTAATTTTGAAGCTAATTTTTAGAGGGTCGCATCATACATGAGATGTAAGATTAGCGTATGTACTGCTGGCCCTTGATACGCCGTTAACCAGACTATAAATCCATTTGCTGTACTGAAATTAGCTTCAAAATTAGGTCTTCAAAAGTCGCACAATACGCAAATATATATATAATGACGAAAAAAATATATTTTATAGGAAAATAACCCAAAATACCGTATATACTCGCGTGTCATGCGCCTGGTGAAGACCTAATTTTGAAGCTAATTTTAAGGAGGTCGTATCATACACGAGATATAAAATTAGCGTATGTACTGCCGGCCCTGGCTACACCGTTGACCAAATTATATATCCATTTATTGTCGTCAAAAAGAACAGCTGTATTTAAGATAAACATGATTTTGATAAAACTGACGCTTTACTTAACTGTAGCCAATAATAATGCATGTAATATTCACATATTAGTATCGTATTATAAAATACAAACAGCGAATATGAATATTTTCCATTGTCTAAGTTTATAACATGTTTAACTGTTTCTCGTTCAGTTGTTTATGGCTGGACGCGTTTACGCAACGAGTATAGCGTTACTAACGATACTTTTAACTTTCTCTTTTACTTTTTTAACTTATTTAACTAGAAGATGGGATAAAAAAAATATATAGGAAAAGAGGTTAATCTATTGTAACTTGGTCTCTGTAAAAAGGGACTCGCGTGATACAAGAGATATACGTTTTTACCGAAAGTGTCTTTTTCGGACACAGACGAATAAATACCTCCAAACCATCTACAGGCCTTTTTATACGTCAATATTGATTTTTTTTTTCTTCTGAGCTTGAAATAAGTCATACTGTTAACTCATACGTCTAGTAGAGGTGTTAGCCACCGCTCGGGTATTTCAATGTGCCTCAGTTCCTAAGTTACTATATTAAAAACAAATTTAAAAATCTGTCTGAAAATGCAAAGTTTTTCTCAAAATAATTGGCAGGGAAAGGGTTAAATTAAATTTTTAGTACTTATAAAATCTTTGGGGGTCTATTTGAAAGTTTTGTCGGACACCAGGAACCTCTTCTTGCCACTGTCAAACAGAGAAAAATGGCGTGGTTTGGACACATTACAAAGCACGGCAGCGTTTGCAAGACCGTCATGAAAGCAACGTTGAAGGTGGATTTAAGAGAGGATGCCAATGCAAAAACTGGTTGGATAATGTCAAACAATGGACAGGTATGAGTGTACCAGAATTGCTGATGGCGGCCATTGATAGACTGTTGTGGAAAAGACTTAGTGTGGCTTCTGCATTTGGATCCTCCCTATGATTACAAAAGTCAAGGGGATGATGATGATGATGATGATGATGATGACTGACATCTGCTGATGTGTTGAAATTTTGGAATAATGCAATAATAAAACTATAAATTTCATTTCTCTGATGGCTGTCATGATCTGTTAAGCTAAAATATCATGCATTTGTATTGTTCTTTCATTTTCTATTGGGAACAAAAAACCATTCTGTTTGTACAGAAAAGGGTTGAAAGAATTGTGGGATACCAGGAACCTCTTCTCGCCACTGTCAAACTGAGATAAATGGTGTGGTTTGGACACATTACAAAGCACGGCAGCCTTTGTAAAGACCATCATGAAGGCACCGTTCATGGTGGACGTAGGAGAGGATGCCAACGCAAAAACTGGTTGGATAATGTCAAACAATAGACAGGTATGACTGTACCAGAATCGCTGATGGCGGCCATTGATAGACTGTTGAGGAAAAGAGTTAGTGTGGCTTCTGCATTTGGATCCGGACTATTTCAATTGTCTTTTCCTGTATTCTTCTTCCATGTTCTGCGTCCCTTCAGAATGTGGGCGATCATGGCTCTCCACAATTTTCTATCCTTTGTAGCTCTTAATAAATTTTGTTTTTTTGTTATCGCCTCTAAACCTTGTTCCACCATCCATTTATTCAAGATCACTGAGTAAGTTATGTGTTGCTCTCCTCTGTCCCTCTTGCTTTCAATCTGCCCTGTGAGTATCAGATTTTCCAAGCCTTCTTTCCTCATTATGTGACCTAGAAATTTCAAACGTCTCTTCTTGATGTTAAGTATAAGTTTCCTTTTTGTTTCCGTTTTCTCTAAAACTTCATCATTGCTCACATGTTTGGTCCATGGTATCTCCCGCGTCCTTTTGTAGAGGCACATTACTGTTGCTTCAAGTCTCTTCTTCATCTTTGAGGAAACTGTCCATCATTCTCTGCCATGTAGGAGGACAGATATCACATTAAATTCCAGTACTCTTAAAACGCTGCTTAGCTTTTTGAATGCATCTTTGGCTATCCCAATACGTCTTCGGATTTCAGTGCCACAATTTACGTCCTTTCTTAAAACACTTCCCAGGTATTTAAATTTTTGTACCAGTTTGATTTTGGTATTTCAAATTTGAAATTTGCATTTTGGGCTCATCTTTTAAATTTTTTACAATTTGGTACAGTCATACCTGCCTATTGTTTGACATTATCCAACCAGTTTTTGCGTTGGCATCCTCTCCTACGTCCACCATCGCTAAAAGCGATTTAAAAAATGCAGAATTCATTCAACATAATGATTTGTGTTGGTGATTTTTACAGAATTGCAACCAACTATATTCCTCATCTTTTGGAATTATGTATAAGATTTAATCGTGCAAAACCCTCCCCAGTCGTCTTCCAACATCGCGGCTGATCGATGAAGATTGCTTCGATCTCGGACCTGCCCTATCCCACGTTATGATTTAAGTTTGATCATAAGAAGGTCAAGATCGAATCGTCACAGATATCTTCGTGCCGGGTGGGTTCAAACAGGGCGAAGACGTACAGGAAAAAAACACTCGAATAAATTGAACAAAAATAAATACTGTTTCTATATCAGCCCTTCGTACAACAATTGGTTATACCGCAGTTTTGTTTTATTTGTTTTTGTTTTATTTGTTTTATTTATTTTATTTATTTATTATTTATTTATTTATTATTTATTTATTTTATTTATTTATATTTATTTATTTATTTATTTTATTTATTTTTATTTGTTTTATTTATTTTGTTTTATTTGTTTTATTTATTTTATTTATTTATTATTTATTTATTTATTATTTATTTATTTATTTATTTTATTTATTTTTATTTATTTATTTATTTATTTATTTTATTTATTTTTATTTGTTTTATTTATTTTGTTTTATTTGTTTTTGTTTTATTTGTTTTATTAGCCCAACCTGCATCTAAATCGGAAGTGATATTACCGTTGTTGACCTAGCAAAGTTTAGTTTTCTGCTGTGGTAAAGTTTGGCACAAGGCTGAAATCGGAGACTTTCGTCGGCAGATAATCACGTGGACCCATCTCTCTCTCTCTCTCTCTCTCTCTCTCTCTCTCTCTCTCTCTCTCTCTGGTCTGTCTCCGTCTCTTCTGCTTCTCTTCCCACTTTTACTTAATTCGCTTCGCGCATTCATTTTTATGGACATTCGCCCAAACTGGCATGGGGGTATAGCGTGGTGGGGGCATTTCAGTCAATCCCCTGCGGGTTACGTCATAATTCCCTCTCTCTATCCTCTCTTTTATTATCCTCTCTCACCGACAAAGAGCACAGGTGGTTCCTCCATCCTCCTTTGATGTCTTCTCTGCGCCTGCTACCTCGAGCATTGTCCGTCCAGAAAAAATCTCAGTTCCAAATTCAGTTGTTTACAAAAATCTACTTTTTCGCTTTACAGCCTGCATTTGCAGCCGTTTGTCAATCAACATTGCCCCCTAAGCCTGGGTCACTTTCCATTGTCCAAATTGCTCGACATACAATTCAAGTCGTTTATGTGTGAATTAAATCCTCAATTCTTCCCACGGGTTTTTGGTATTAACTCTTCTCGTTTCAATGTCGTTCAGCACATAACACTTCCTATTGATAAGAAAACTTTCTTATGTCTTATTTTACCGCGGTAACAACAAATGGTATCGCATAAGATACTTCTACGGAAAAGGGCTTGGCGTAAATGACACTCACAGGACCTACTGAAGGCAAATGGGACTGAGAAAAACAGCGTGTGACCGACCTCACGAGTTTGTGTAAATTGCTGTCAGAACATGGACTAGAAGAGATAGTAAGAGGACAAACTTTGCTGACAGCTACGAAGGATATGAAGTCGTGGAGAGCCATGATCACCCACGTCCCGAATGGACACGACACATACTAATACTGCTAATAAGAGTAATAATCAAAGTAAGCAAAAAAGAATTCAATTATGTCGACTCTGCAAAAGGCAAAGGACATTTTCTCTTAGTTACAATATCTTAGTTATAATAGAAAGCGCAAACAGTTTGAAAAGGGCCAATTTGCTTCAAACCTTCGGCCACGATGGCTTGCCAATTCGCGCTAGCAGACTATTTCACTGACAAGGCTTCGGTTTTCACGTATCTTCCGCACACCGAGATCACCTCTCCGGGCCGATATTATCAGAAAGTCATATTCTGGCCAAATCCATTATAGTAAGCTTCGGATCTGAGTTTCATGGAAAGGAAGTGAACATTCTTCACACTCATCCACGCTTCCTATATTCCAATAATATCGATGTAAAAAAAAGTTTTCCATTAATTGCTTAAATTAATACGAAAATCAGTAGATGCATACACCTAAAGGTCTGAACTAAGGAATAGCATTTCTTGAAAAGGGTAATTGTGTCTTGCTTTGCTGAGTTCCGTGACCGAATACATAAATGCACGTCTGGCTAAAACTTATTTCCCAGATAAAGAGAATGTCATTGCCGAGTGGTAGGTAATATGAGTTTCGATTATGTAGGATGGTAGATGTTTAATTTCAGTTTGAAATGAAACAAAAAGGCATGGGTGTCTGCTTACACGCGTGTATCTACAAAAAAATAACGGGTTATGCATGTGTGTTTATAATTATCTTTCAACTGGCTTACTTTTCCTTTTCCTTTTCCTCTAGCTTTCTTGGCACATCCATCCCCTCGTTTACATCCTCTTTCCTCGCGTTTGTCTAACTTAATATAATTAAGTAGGTTTCTCGGCCAGAAAGCGTAACTGATTCCATTTCAAAAGCGTCGTTGATAGTGCACAAGCTATAATCTTAATCCATTCCGGAAAAAAAGAAAAAAAAAACAAATAATTTGATAAAACAGTGTTGATCAAACTTTCCTTTTAAATTTTTAAAAGTATTTTTTTAAATTCTTTATAAAAATGTTCTTTAATTTTATTTTTTTAATTTATTTTAAAAATTTATTTTATTTAAAAAAAAAATTTTATTTTATATTTATTTAAAAAAAATTTTTAAATTCTTTTAAAAAAAAAACATTTTTTTTTTTAATTTTAAAAATTTAAATTTTTTTAAAATTCAAGGCGTACTTGTAGAATAGCAGAAATTCGGGGCGCACTTTAAATTTTAATTGATTATTTGAAATTTACATTTATTCTTTTATTATGTAAATGTTTATTTATTTATTTATTTTATCTTTTTTTTTTTTTTTTTTTTGGACAAAGTCCGACAATTATTTATTGAAAAAAGTTTGAGCAAATTAACTATAAACAAAATGTGTTTTTTTTTTTTGTTACTATCCTCTGCCAGCCGCAATGACAGAGAAAGCATTACCTCGAATCATCGCCAGTGAGACACGCTGCAAGAGCCACTCCGTTTCGCGAGGATCGTCTCTTAATCGAGACGCCATCGCGCCAATCCTCCGAAGGAACGCCATCGAACGAGAGCCAATAACCCCTGAAGTCTCCGCTGCCACAAGAGTAAAAAAAAAAAAGAGAGAAATAGAAGATTGTATCTCATGTGTAATAAATAATGCATTATTTCTATGTGTACTCTTTTGTATATTCTTGAAATTGCCTTTTTCTCAATATTATAGAATACTAGCAGTATAACCCGTCTTTGACCGTACACACAGGACAGATCAAGAGAAAGAGGGTCAGAGGAAAGCAGGGCGAAATATATTTGATGAGCTTAAGTAAATGGATGGTAGGACAGGGTTTAGGAGAGATAGCAAAAAGACAAGACTTATTAAGAGCTACAAGGGACAGGAAGATGTGAAGGGCCGTGGTCGCCTACGCCCTGAAGGGGTACGGCGCATAAAAGAAGACAAACCTGTATATATATTTGAGATTTCAGATTTTTAGTGAAGAAACTAGGAAATAGTTCAGTAACTATTTACTTTTAAAAAGCATTAGATATTTTAGTATAGTCGCTGAAGAATTGTTACATTTTTATCTCTATCTATAAAAGGGAAGATGTGTGTGTGTGTGTGTGTGTGTGTGTGTGTGTGTGTGTGTGTGTGTGTGTGTGTGAATGCACGAATGCACGCAATTTTCGACGGACTTGCACCAAAATTTACATGCACATGCTCCAAGTTAGTGGGAAGGCCAACACCGGCACTTTTCATGTTGTTTACGGCCCTTTTTCTACTGGCCAGAGTGAGAGCCAATAGCTGGCTGCCACGAATAGGCAGGAAGATTCTATTGGCCAGCGTGAGAGCCAACAGCTGACTGACACGAATGTTTACTAGCATGCAAAGAAAATCGATAGCTGCATTCGTCACGAGTGGGAAAAATTTAAATCTGCATGGCACTTTACTCCAATTGGCTTATTTGCTTGCTTAAACTCAACGTTGATTCTGATTCAGCAGAACTGGGTTGGGTGTGAAAAAGTATTTGTTGTTAACATTCTTTTTTCATTCGGTTTTTCCAGTTACGAGACCTTTTTTAAACCTGATCGTTTTGTGTTCATTTTGTTTAGTTCTTTTTTCCTAACAGATTTAATGTTTAGTATAGAGCTTAGAAAAAAATCGCAGTGTGAGATAGGCAAGAAGTAAGGCATGTAGCAACATCAGCACGGCTAAGGGCACTTCTTTAAAGGCAAGGAAGGGCAAAAATATTTTAAGTCAAGTGATATCGATTGCTGTATGAGTCGTACAATTTTTGAATCAAGCACGGGCAACGCCGGGTCATGCTGCTAGTTACGTAATAAAAGAATATATAATGTGTTCCTCTCAAGTTTCAAATTTCAGATCGTATGACTGAGATTAAGTCTCTAACTTTACGCGATCATAAGGCTTTACCGCCTTATAATTTTTATAAGAAAAAATTCTTTCTTTCTATGTGCCGTGTCCCTTCAGGACGTAGGCGATCATGGCTCTCCACTTCCTCCTATCAATTGTAGCTTTCAATAAGTTTTGTCCTTTTGCTACTTCCCCCAGGCAATATTCCGTCATCCACTTGCTTAAGCCTGCTAGGTATGTTATGCGTTGCTTTCCTTTGTCCTCTTTCCTTCTATTCGACCTGTGGGTATCAGATTCTTCAAGCCCTTCTTTCTCATTACGTGTGCCGGACTCTTCTGTTAACCTGGGGCTACATTTCAGGGCGCAGTAGTTCGCCTGGGCGCATCAGTTGAGAAACGCTGGTGTGGAAAAGTTGATGCATTGTCGACGAGTTAAATTGATATCCAGTTTGGCGGCTGATTAAAGAACTTTGTAGAAAATTCAAATAATAAATCTCAAAACTATTTTCGTTTATTTACTAAAGACTGCAACATAGACACATCTGGTCTGGTGCTTCCGTTTTACATCTGGGCAAAATCCACAGACGAAATCGGCAACGTTATCGGTCCTGACCTGGCATCTCGGCTTTCCGTCTTTTTCCCACGACCGTAACGTAGCTTCCCTTTGCCTTTTGTAGAAATCTTTTCGCGGTTATTGTTCTGATCAGCTTCCCGCATTGGTAACTCGTCTTCACGAATTTGAGCGCAGTGCTCGATTGGCGGTTAAGTCTCAAAATTTCACTGTTGAAATAGCTAGTGATAACCGTAAGTTCTATGCTAATTCTCGCTTGTGGAACTCATTTCTTGATTCCTATTTTTCTGTCAGCTATGATCTCTAAACATTTAAATGCGATGCCAATCGTCATCTGTCGCCTGTTTATTTATTGCCCTCTCTGTTTCTTTCTCTCTCAGTAAGCCTTTGCATCCTAGAGGCTTTATTGCCTTGTTTTGGGTTTAATGATAAAAAGAAAACGACAGATTGAAACTAGTTGCATTTACGACGCATCGCTCAATAGTAGGCGCCCTTTTAGAAGCTGCATTTCCTGCTATATACCATGAAGCAACATATAACAGCGATAAATTTGGCAAGGAATATTTATGAAAACATTAAAGGCTCTACAAGTTCCAGGAATTCCGTATCCCTCCCCACACACACATCATCTCTCTCTCTCTCTCTCATTCCATCATGTCCATTTTATCTGTTGCGCAATTTTACTTTTTCGACATTTGTCTGTCTTTACACTTCTCTCTCTATCCACCCCTCACTGTTATTCATTCATTCTTTTTTTCTTTCTTTCTTTTTTCTTTCTTTCTTTTTTCTTTCTTTCTTTCCGTCGTTCCGCTATACACTTCTTTTCTCCGTCTCTCTCATTTTTACCGCATCTACTTTCTTTCTTTCTTCTCCTCTCCCCACTCTCTCTCTCTCTCTCTCTCTCTGTGTCTCTCCCTCAGTCTCTCCCTCAGTCTCTCCCTCAGTCTCTCTTCCTGTCATTCATTCATTCTTTCTTTCTTTCTTTCTTTCTTTCTTTCTTTCTTTCTTTCTTTCTTCCCATCGTTCCATCATACTCTTTTTCTCTCATTTCCACCTTATCTACTTTCTCTCTTTCTCAGAGTCTCTCTTTCTCCCTGTCTCTCTCTCTTCCAGTCATACATTCTTTCTTTCTTTCTTTCTTTCTTTCTTTCTTTTTTAACATCGTTCTATCATACTCCTTTTCTCCCTCTCTCTTTTTTTTACATTAAATACTTTCTCTCTGTCATTCATTCATTCTTTCTATCTTTCTTCCTTCATTTCTTTCTTTCTTTCTTTCTTTCTTTCTTTCTTTCTTTCTTTCTTACCATCGTTCCAACATACCATTTTCTGTCGCTCTCATTTTCAACCTATCTCTCTTTCTCTCACACTCTCTCTCTCTCTCTCGCTCTTTCTCTGTCATTAATTCTTTCTTTCTTTCTTTCTTTTTTCCGTCGTTCCATCGCAGTCCCTTTCTCTTTCTCTCATTTTCACATCTAGTTCTCTCTCTCTCTCTCTCTCTCTCTCTCTTTCACTTTTTTCATAATTGTCTCTTCTTTCCCTCTCTTTCTCCCCAAATCATACACATTTGACCCACCTAGCCATCATCTTTTGGTATTGTTGGGTGTGGTGGGGGTGATACGCCATTTTAATCTCATTGAATCACATTACCTTCCTCTTCTCTGTAATATCATCGCTTTTATATTTCAGTCACGTTCGTGCTGAAAATCTTCCACCGGCATCATATTATCGTACGGATCACTGTTTGACACCTCTTATTAAGCAATGCAATTCATTAATGCCGTTCCACAGCACGATAATTGTCCGCCCAATTCAACACCCGTCAGGCCTCTACTCCATCCATGGCCAGACTGGGCAGGACCTATCAGCCGTATTCACGGCCTATCACACTGATTCGTCAATACGCGCCTACTCTTAGACGCACAGGGTAAAGCGCCCTTTCTTCCGACCTACACGACAAAGTGCAGACCCCTGTCGTTTTCCCAAAAGTATATTTTGAGTGAGAAAACACCTGCCAATCAGCATTATGGGAAACGGACAATAGTCAGTCATAAGATTCACGATTTAGTTGTCACTCATATATATATATATATATATATATATATATATATATAATTACATGATTCATTCATACAAAAAACAAATAAAGAGGTTAATGATTTAAATGGCGAGAATACATCTTCGCAAACAATTTCAATAAGTTACACTAACCCCGAACCTTTATATGAATGATATGATCCCTGTTTATAAATTCCAGTTTCATAAGGTCTTTTTTAGTTTTTACAAGCTTTCGTCTGTTCCTACAGACATCCTCAGGTATGGAAATAGATTTGTTCTTGTTTTTACTTCTCGGTAATAAGAGGACAACGAAAATAGAGATGTAATCCGAAAAAAATGCTATGAGAAATGTGTTATTGTTTTGGAACGTGCGGTCGCAGCGCTGAGTTTGAATTTTAAATTCTAAGGTTGTGCGTTTTTGTACAAATATAGTAATAAGAGAATTCTTTTGTACTGGTAGGTTTTCCGTCAATGTGGCATGAACTATATTGTTCAATAATTACAGAAATGCCACACTTATTATCCGAAATTTGCACGTTGGGTCAGTTATTTTAATTTCGATTATTGGTGCTGTTCAACTTATAATTACATAAATCATTCATACAAAAAACATATATAAAGGTTAATGATTTAAATGGCGAGAATACATCTTCGCAAACAATTTCAATAAGTTACACTAACCCCGAACCTTTATATGAATGATATGATCCCTGGCGAGAATACATCTTCGCAAACAATTTCAATATTTAAATAATTAACCTCTATATTTGTTTTTTGTATGAATGATTCATGTAATTATAAGTTGAACAGCACCTATAATAATATATAATATATATATATATATATATATATATATATATATATATTATGAAATAATCATTCAGGCCGGTAGATGGCTTCTGTTACCAATTATAGGCATATAAGAATATTTGTAAAGATTTCATAGTTTATTTTGTTCAGATTAGGTTTCAACTGTTTTATGTATATAGCTTCAAGAATTTTTAGTTTTTATTTATTGTTTTCATGTTTAAGTATAGTTGTGTTTTCAACGAGGATTTCCGGAATTGTGTATGCGGCCAGGCATGTTGTTTTAAATGCCTAAAAATGTTTTCATTCAAATGTAGTGTCAAGCGTCGTGAAAGAGTTTTGGTGTGACCAACATAGATATTATTTAATTAGTTAATTAATTTATACCAACGGATTCCCATACTTAATACTTCTCGAATTCACTCTCGCGTGCTCATGTGTGACGTCATGAGCTGCGGTGCGATTTTCGCTTCCAGCGTCTTATATGCACGTGTTTATCATTGCTTGGAAATCATCCATGTAAACAGAAACAGACTATCATCACTTTCTTGTCCGTGTATTGCTTAATATATTGTACAGTAATTGTCATCTTTGATAATGGCTTATTAAGCCGAAAGCTTAGATTGGATTAAATTTCTTTCTTCGTTTAAAGATAATGTTATTAAGCTTATCAGACGTTATGAAAAGAATTTACATAAAATAAATAGACAACACTTGTCTATATTATTTAATGAAACATGAATGAATATATATATATATATATATATATATATATATATATATATATATATATATATATATCCATTTCTAAAAAAAAAACTTTCGGTCTGAAGAGATGAATATAACAATATTCATGAATAAAATTATAACCTATATGAATTTTTAAAAGTGTTTTCTTAACTTATCATTATATATATATATATATATATATATATATATATATATATATATATATATATATATCGGACCTGTATCCTACAAACAACAGCCATATAGCAATGACGAGCTATACCATTCAGCTACAAAGAAAGCGTATGGTTAGCAAAGTCAAATTACTGTTTTTAAACTACAAATTTCCCTTGATTATCGGAGGAGACATATTTTCTATGAATTTTTTCGGATTTTCAGACCGGTGAACGTAGTTAATACTGTTTATTATAAAGAGAGCATTTACTATATATATATATATATATATATATATGTGTGTGTGTGTGTGTGTGTGTGTGTGTGTGTGTGTGTTTAGGCATATCTTTTAGGTATATCTGATTAAATAAATTACAGACAGTATGTTTGCTAATTTTTAATAAAATCCGTTCATACTCACGAATAACCTTGCGTGTATTGATTTTAAAGGATGAGAGAAATCTGACTTGTATAAATACTTGTACTAATGAGCATCATATAGTTTAGTACTACTTGCACCGCTGAAGATGATCTAGGAAGAAGATCGAAAGTACTTTGGAAACGAAAATAATTGAAATTTAAACAGCTATAGCACAAACATTCTCTAAAATAAGAGGAGGGAACGATTGACTAAGATATAAGGCGTCAGAACTGCAACAATGCCTATCAATAGTCTCAAGAAGAGGTACGCAGATGAAAAGGCTAGACATATCAAAGGAACACATAAATTTGTTAGTCAACGGGTGATTCTCTATAAAATCAGAGAATTCAAAGGAATCTTTGATACAGGACGAACTATACCGATTCAAAACACGCTGCAATACAGTGACAAGCTACTTGGACACACCATGTTAGGAAGACTCTATCATAGACAAAATTGGTCTGAATGGGACACCAACCTTATGTGTTTTGAGTAAACTATCGAGAGGGGGACGAATTGAACCAGAGGATCTAATCAAATTAGAAATGTCAGTAGGCAAAATTCCACTTTTAACCCACTTGACTCGGAGTTTTTGGAACTTAGCCTCAACAGTTAATATGGAATCAAATTTATCTATTGGGACTAACTGTACAATCCAGGATGACAACGCTTGAGCCTTTGTTGGGTTTCGTAATGACCAAAGATTTATTACAACGGAGATATTCCATAATCCGATATTGTTCCTTGTTTTACTTGAATTCACAAAGGGACCCAGGAGTACCCACGTATGAATGCGCTATGTCATTCAACATTGCCTTAAGGTCGCTAACCTTGCTGATAGATTCAGCTTGAAGTCTAACTGAGCAAAAAGAACTTCAAACTCTGAATACATTTCTTCTCGCTTAAAAAACGGGGGAAGAATACAAAATCAAGTTCATGTGGGAGTATCAAAATCTCTACCATGGAGGAAAAAGAAGAGGAAAAATTCAGAACATTCTAACCAACTCTGAGATTAGTAGAACACCCAAACTTTTTTTATAAATTAAATGATGCATCTTATTCTGATAGGTTGATGCAAATCGAAAACGACTGCATTCATAGATAAGTGCAACATAACGGACAAAACGTATCCTATCAAAAAAGGTTTGTAAATTAATATTGTTATTCCATAATAGATATTTCCTATATAATCGGGCCAGACCACAATAGAGCTTAGACAAAAAGTTGGAAATAAATACTTCCTCCATTTTCTGTCCTGAATGTATATTAACCCTTTTAAAACGGAAAGAAATCAAAGGTGGTCAGATTTTATTTGTCAGACAGGAATAAAGAAATTTATGTGTTCTTTGATATGTTTAGCTTTTTCACATGCGTACCTCTTCTTGAGACTATTGATATATGTACTGACGCTTTATATCTTAGTCGTTCCCTCCTCTTATTTCAGAGGATATTTTTGTCGAACTTATAAAGTTTGCCACGATGTCGGTTGAATTCAGTTTCGACAGCGTCATGTATAAGCAAATCGATGGAGTCTCAATGGGTTCCCCTTTAGGACCCATTTTAGCTAACATCTTTGTAGGTTTCCATGAAGAGAGTGTATTATCTGATCCTAATAGATCTGATGTGCATTATGTATTATCGTTATGCCGTCATGACTTTTTGTCTCTTCAAGAGCGAAAATGAAGCGAAGCTTTTTCTTGCGTACCTTAACAATATCCATCCAGCTCTTAAATGTACACAAGATAAGGAAGTAAGCTCTTCCCTTTCTTGATGCTTTGGTTCGTAGAACTTCGTCGAGTTTTCGCACATCAGTTTATCGAAAACCGACGTTTACATATTTCTGTACCCGTTGGGATTCTTTTTGTCCCATAAAACGTAAAATAGGTTTAATTAAGAACTCTTCACCATAGGATCTTAAAGATCTGTTCTGAAACCAAGGTGGATGATGAGATAAGTTTTTTTTTTATTACTACTCTCTGCCACAATGCCTATCCTTTAGACATTGTTCAATCCGTAATTGAAAATAAAATTTCGGAATTTAATAATGTCAAACCTGCTTCAGTACAGAGATGCCACGTGTACCTACGTCTTCCTTGGCTAGTTAGTATTGGTGACAGATTTATTAAACGTGTTTCTATGGCAGTTCGACAGTATTACTTTGTTGTTATTATACGTGTCGTTTTCTCTGCTAAATCTGTCCTTCCATCCACGCGTAAAGACTTTCTTCCGCCTCGCTATAAAAGTTCCCTGATTTATTTATTTATTTATTTATTTAAATGTACTTGCAGTATGCACTAACACAGAAAGAACGACCCAAAGGATGAATGCTAGAAATAAACACCCTAGAAAAATCTGGAAAAATCTGGAACTCTACTTATTTACCATCTGGAATTTTGACCAATACATACGGTTCTTCCATTACGGAACACCTTATAAATAATCGCCATTGTGCAGCTAATTTCAATGTGGACTCATTATCATTCCTAAGTAGGTCCCACTCACATTACCATCTTAAGATACTGGAGGCCATATATCTTTAATCAATGAAACCTTCAGTCTGTAAACAGTTGGATTTCTCGTTGCAACTGTAGCTAATTTTTACAGTGTTTTTATTGAATATTTCGTGTAGAGTGCTTGATTCCAGGAAATGTTTCTTCAAGAGTTTTCTTCCCAGACTAAAACAAGCTAATAATTAAGCGACATCAGTAAATCCGCGCCCCAATTTTTTA